ACACACACACACCATTCAGTACATACTCGGTGTGTAGGTGTGTATTCTGATGGGTGCAGAACCATTTGAGAGTTGCTGATACGGTGTTTCACTCATGTGTGCCATGTACTAAGAATCAAGGACATTCTCCTATGTAACCAAATATGATTATCACTGTTGAGGAACTTAACATTGATTTGATTATCAGAAATACTATCCATAGTCATATTTCTCCAAGTTTCTCAATATTGTCCTTCACAATCATTTTTTTCCTTCCCAGATCCAGGATCTGGGAAATGAAGGATCATGCATTACATTTACTTGTTGTGTCTCCTTGAATGTAGAAGAATGTAGAAGTAGCCCCCCAGCCACTTTTTTGAGATGGGGGATCGCATGATACTGACATTTTTGAAGAGTCCAGGCCAGTTTTGTGATGTGATTTCTCTATTTGTCTGCTGCTTACTCATGATTAGGTTGAGTTAAATGTTTTTAGCGGGAAGATACCTAGGTGTTGATATTAAGTCTTCAGCGCTTCACATCTGAAGGTACATGATGTCAGGTGTCCCATTATTGATAAAAATTAAGTCTGGTCACTTGATTAAGGGTATAAAGAAGGACATTTGCTCCCTGTTTTATTTCTCTTTTTATTTTTTTCTTTGCTATTATCACTGTGGATTCAGGGATTCTTTTTTTTATTTAATTGATTATATTTCATTTTGATACTCATATTTCTAAATCTAAGTGATGAGAGTCCCTAAAGGCTGGTTCCTGTGCCTTTTTGGTATGTCTCCCCCCATCAGTTTTTGAACATTTCCTTGCAGTTACAAGATGTTTTGGGGTCAATTTGTCATTTTCCCTGCTGGATCCTTTGGAATTAGCTATTTCTCCAGAAAGTCCTGTTCCATTTTAGTGGGGAATGATACTAGAAATCAAAATTTGGGTGCTGAAGGTTCTGCTTTCTACTGGGGTTTCACTGCTCCTATACTTTCAGTGGATAGAGCTAGAGACTATATAAATATATGTAAAATAGATATAAAATGTGTGTGTGTGTGTGTATATATATATTTATATGATTGACCCTTGAATAACACAAGTTTAAACTGCATAGGTCCACTTACACACTGATTTTTTTCAATAAATAAATATATTCGAAAAATTTTTGGAGATTTGCAACAGTTTTAAAAACCATTGTCTGTAGCTTACTTTATTATAAGACTGTAGTATATAATACATATATCATACAAAATATGTTAATTGATTATGTTACTTGTAAGGCTTCTGGTCAACAGCAGGCAGTTAAGGCTTTGTGGGGGTTCAGAAGTTATATGTGAATTTTCGACTGTGTGGTGGTGGGGTTTGGCCCCCCCAACCCATGCACTGTTCAAGGGTCAATTGTATAAGTGTGAGTTCATAGTACTACTACTAATTCCTAATCCCTAAAGGTTCTTTTTCTCCTTATTCCACTCTATATTTGTATCTTTTTTTTTCTCATAGTAAGATCTGTGGTTCCCCAAAAGTATCAATGTGTATTCATTTGCTCAGTCTTGACTACTCAGCAGTAAAATTTCTGTATAATCATCACCAGCAACAAACCTTAAGTAAAGTTGAAGATCCTTTGTTTCTTTTTATCAATAGGATGTTGTTTATAATGGTGATACATCATCCTAATGTAAATACTTGATGGGTACTTAACACAATTTACCTTAAGTAACAAAAAACTTTAGAAAGAGAACTCTCTACTTGCTAATTTTTTTTTTTTTTTGAGAGGGCATCTCTCATATTTATTGATCAAATGGTTGTTAACAACAATAAAATTCAGTATAGGGGGGTCAATGCTCAATGCACAATCATTAATCCATCTCAAGCCTAATTCTCGTCAGTCTCCAATCTTCTGAAGCATAACGAACAAGTTCTTACATGGTGAACGAATTCTTACATAGTGAATAAATTCTTACATGGTGAACAGTACAAGGGCATTCATCACAGAAACTTTCGGTTTTGATCAAGCATTATGACCTATAAGCAATCAGGTCAAATATGAATATTCGTTTGATTTTTGTACTTGATTTATATGTTGATCCCACATTTCTCCCTCTATTATTATTATTATTTTTATTTTTAATAAAATGCTGAAGTGGTAGGTAGATGCAAGATAAAGGTAGAAAACATAGTTTAGTGCTGTAAGAGGGCAAATGTAGATGATCAGATGATCAGGTGTGTGCCTATGGACTAAGTATTGATCCAGGCTAGACAAGGGCAGCAAGATGTCCATGGATGCAGAAGATTTCTCTCAAAGCAGGGGGGGTGAGGTTCTGAGCCTCACCTCTGTTGATCCCCAAATTCTCACCTGATGGCCCCCCTGCGACTGTGCCTGTCTTAGGTTGTTCCTCCCTTGAGCAATCTTACCTGTCTCTGGCTAACCAGTCATCTTCCGGGGCCATACAGGGAAATGTAAAGTTGGTAAGTGAGAGAGAAGCCATATTGTTTGAAAAGGTTAGCTTTTTACTTCTTTGCAGATTTATGCCCTGTGGCTTCTATGCCCAGCACTTGTCTCGAGGTATCTTTACCACCTGGAGGAATTATGATACTCGGTAAATTCGATATGAGGCACGAATTCTATTTAAGGGTTGTAATTAGGAAGGAAGAAGAAAAGCTATAGATGTAGCATATGGAAGGAAACATGGGAGGATTGATTATTTCTTTGACATATCTTCTTGTAGAGTACCTTAAGTATGTATAGGTTTTAAACTACTAATTTGCACACACATATTAACATAATAGGAATACGGTTACGTAAACAAAGCAAATCTATACCATCCATCTCCAGTGAAGCCATCTACTTGCTAATTTTTTAAAAAACCTTTTTTATCTAGTAGTCCCACAGATACTGTTTTGCTAATTTTAACTGAATCCTGTTTCAGTATACAGTTGCAAATATCCTGAGGGATATGCTATAAAATAATTTTGCCTGTACAGTAAAGATATACTACTTCAAGTTGACTTATATTTAAATTTTGTGTTATTTTTAGGGTAACTCAGATTACTGGAATTACTGCTGTGGGGGAAACTTAATTTTATCTTAGGCAGAGATATTGATGCTCAAAAAAACAGTAGAAAAAGTGGAAATGATAAATTAGATGTGAAAGTAAGTCAAATCAGAAAAAGAATTAAGAGCTATAACTGGGATATTAGTCCTTACAAGCAGTTAATTTAATTCTCAGCTTCTTGGCTGTTGTGTTAAAAAAAAACACTCAGTTGGATGACTTCCATTATTTAAGAAAATAGTTTTTTGTTATTGGATTTTAGGGGGAAGTTTTTTGTGGGAATCATACCTATTTTTGTAGTAAATGTACAAGTATTATTTATTGCATGATAATTTTTGTGCTGTGGAATACATAAAATTATATCATAGTTTTAAGAAGGCATTTTTGTTTTTTGATCACTCAGGAATTGAGTTTAGGAAATGGGTAGTTAACACGTCCCTTAGACTATTAGACTTAAAATAACTTTGCTGCAGCACTGTAGCTCTAGAGGTCTATTTAAACCTTGATTGTTACTAATGTACAATTTTTAGTTGGTTCAGGTGTGCTGGAGGATAATCTATATTCTTTGGTTTTATTCTCTGAATACCAAAGTACAGATGTCTTTAGGGTATTTAAGAAAGATCCACATTTTTTTGTGTGGTTCTGTATGGTGCTAAAAATATTAGACCAGAGAAAGTATATACTATTTCCCTAAGAATAGCTTATATTTTCATCTGAGTTTGTTAGAACACTTATGCAAATCAGAAATGACTCAAATGCACATTTGGAACATTTAGAATATTTTTAAAAATACTGTGTTGCTTTATTTGCATGATACTAAATTGTGCAGATCATGAATTTTTATCTTTGAATTACTTTCACTATTCTAACTACTTACAAAAATCTTCAGGATTTTATTGGTTTTGCTCTCCATTCTAATTTTATGATTATAGTTTCCCCCAATCTTGATTGACTTTAATTTTCTGATTAATTTGATTTATGAATCATTAGGTTAGAAATGCTATACAAGTATAACTTGATTTTTCCCTTTGACCTTCAACAGGACTTTTTTTTTTAAGCCCGAGACAGATGATTTAATCTATTTTCAGGGAAGAGTGTCACAGAGTCCCTTGTAATCCCATGTCCAGGGTTTGACAGCCTTTTTCATTATTATCTATTTAACCAAAACCCCTGCTGCTGTAAATAACTATTATCCTTGGTTTTTCATAGTGAAAATACAACACACTGTCATGATAGAAATGACACCCTCATTTTACCCTTTATCCCCAAAGACTTTTTCTTTTTCAATAGTTAGAACTACTGATACTAACCCAAGTTAATTTTAGTTTCTATTGCTGAAAGCCTCCGTGTTGCCATTTATTGAGGTATTAATTGAAATATTAATGTATTTAGAGGAGAAATGTCATTTTTTAGGGAATCTAGAACAACAGCAAAGCTGAGGTCAATCTGCCATAAGGATGGACACCAAGGAAGCTGTGTTTGGGACAAAAAGAAATCAAGATAAGGTAGATGCGAAGTAGAGAAAAGCACTGGACTCTGGGGGAAAGGGGTGATAGGTGGGCGTGGGTTGTATGCCTTTAATAGCAAAGAACAGTTAGATTTCCAGAGGAAGCCATAAAAGGCTTATTAGAAAATATTAAGGATTTGGATTTAAGTACTGTCCTCCTTCTGACTGTATAAGTTTTAGCTGACTTTTAGCTAGCAGACTACTTTAAAAGTTGATACGGTTTAAGTGTTTCAATGGAATGGATCTTAATATTCTGGGCTAGTGTGTCCTGTCTGGTGGATAGTTGTGGAAGATAATATTGGTGTTAGTTGATAAAACGATTCCCAAAACCCAGCTTCAGCATTAATGCTTGTTATTACTTGGAAGTCTAAAGGGAATCTCCACTTGAAGTATTAAACTGATGAAATCAGTACAGAACACTTAATTTTTCCTTTCTTTTTGTGATGTAAAGATTATGTTTCTTTTCATAGCAACATGAACCGTGAAGACCGGAATGTGCTGCGTATGAAAGAACGGGAAAGGCGGAATCAGGAAATTCAGCAGGGCGAAGACGCCTTCCCACCTAGCTCTCCTCTCTTTGCTGAGCCATACAAAGTTGTAAGTTGTAATTCTTTAAATGTTTTTTCCTAATAATGTGACATCTTTGCTTTTAAAATGTTTAAACTCAAATTTTTATATTGGAAAAGCATTACCATGTATACCATTTAACATTTTTTCCTTTCCTCTAAATAGAATGTATTTTTAGGGGTAAACATTTCATTGGAGTATAAATACATGCAGAAATGTACACAAAATAAATGTTATAGTTGAAAGAATTTTCATATGAACAATTTCATATAATCAGGACCTAAATAAAAAAATAGAGCATTACTAGCACCCTCCTGTCATCCAACTCTACTCCTCTCCCCGTTGTTATCCTTTACTCTTGAAAATGTGGTCTGGATTATATCATTCATCTCTATATTCCTGCCTCTGCCACTAACCCTGGGCAGCCATTTCACCTTTCTTAGCCTTGTATGAAGTTAAAATTTTGTGAATCGATATGCATCACCTGCTGTTATCTAGATTCTTTCAGTATAACATAGATCAGAGATAAATATGTTGTAGATTCTTTTGTTTTCCCCTATTTCTTGCCATGAACATACTTAGTTTACTAAGTTTCAGTGATTATTAGTATGTTTGAAAAAATGTGCCTTCAGCGTCAAATCTGGTTCTTTTTCTCTTATGTACTGAATACTCTGATTTTCTAATATATTTAATACTTAATTAGTATCAGATTTAGATTAAAACATATTTGTTAAGTTAAACCAATTGCTATTTTTAGAACTGTGATTTTACTTGATTTGGGATTACATAAATCACTGAATGGTACTACTTGTAATGACTCTAGTGTAGCTGTAGGGGCCACAAATGTCTCTTTAATACTGTATATGGTTCTGGATTTCATTTGAAATATTCTTAAAATTTAAAGGTTTATATTGTGTATAATAGTTACATATTATGTATTGCAGCAGTATTGACCATTGTTGGTTTATAGTATGAGACTGAGAGTGTTAGACTATTTTCTGATGAGATATAAATGTAACAGAATACCCTAGGTTTACCCTTACAACATTTGGTATTTGTAGAAACTATGAGATCTATAAAAGCCACTTTTTAAGAGCTCTTAAGGATTTCCCAGTTATAGACAGTTCAGCTGACATCATTTATATGAGTATAACACAAAGCCGCCTGGGGTTTGGGATTAGGGAGTAAACGCATTTTGAAAAAACAGGAGCCTGGTCCAGAATCTTCAAATCATACTACCATTTATTTTGTACTTACGTTGTAATGATTGGATTTAACTTCTGATCTTGATGTTTTTTATAAATTGCTATATATTTACTTCTTGTTTAATCAGACTGCTTTTCAAATAATCCAAAATCATTATTGATTTATGCTAACCTCAGAGTAATGGCGCTTCAATCTTGATTCCCTTTAAAGTGTAATTAGTAGACTTACTATCTTCTATATATATGAATGTGAGAGAGTCCTAAAGCTTGTAGGCACCTTGAATCTTCTTACTATCCAAGAGTAATTACTGAAATTTAAGGCATGTATCGCTGACTTCAAAAGTTGGAGCATTTGTTGGTCAGAATTAATAGCCATTGAATTACCCACACTTAATTTGTTGCTTAATTTGTTATTGACTTTTACTACCTTAATGAGTAACAGTAATAAAACAAAAAAGTCAGTTGGGTACAGCTGTTTGACTAAGTTTTTGTTTCTGCTTTTAACTATAACATTGAGTTACAAGGAGTATAATGTTTTCTGCCAAAATAATGATGTTGACTAATCTGCTACTTGGAACTTAATTACATAAAGGCAGATTACTTTTCTTGCTCTTCAAAAGATTTTTGCTACTGTTCCAGGCTATTTATTGGTGAAATTGGGATTTTTCCCCTCCTGAAATCTATTTACATATTTCTCCTAAAAATACTTTGTTTTAGCATGATGTTACTCACTCAGTGCATTTTTTTCTTCATAAAAATGATGTGTTTGGAGTTTGCTTTGATGTATTAACCTTAAGGTATAAGATGAGCCCTCCCTTTGAAAAGCCCTATTCCATTTGAGGTTTGGAAAGTCAGTTTAGAGAAGCATCTTTTATTTCCAGTTAGGCTAACTGTTTAATTTTATTTTGAATTTTTTTGTAGACTAGCAAAGAAGATAAGCTATCAAGTCGTATTCAGAGTATGCTGGGAAACTACGATGAGATGAAGGATTTCATAGGAGACAGATCTATACCAAAGCTTGTGGCAATTCCTAAGCCTACAGTACCACCAACAGCAGATGAAAAATCCAACCCAAATTTCTTTGAACAGAGACATGGGAGCTCTCATCAGAGTAGTAAATGGACTCCAGTAGGACCAGCACCCAGCACTTCTCAGTCTCAGAAACGGTCCTCGAGCTTACAGAGTGGACACAGTAGCCAGCGGACCAGTACAGGTGGGAGTGGTGGTGCTAATAGTAGTGGCCAGAGGCATGACCGTGACTCATACAGCAGTAGTGGAAGCAGTAGCCGGAAAAAAGGCCAGCATGGATCAGAACACTCCAAATCACGCTCTTCCAGCCCTGGGAAATCCCAGGCTGTTTCTTCTTTAAGCTCTAGTCATTCCAGGTCTCATGGGAATGATCACCATAGCAAGGAACATCAGCGTTCCAAATCACCTCGGGACCCTGATGCAAACTGGGATTCTCCTTCCCGTGTACCTTTTTCAAGTGGGCAGCACTCAAATCAATCTTTCCCACCTTCACTGATGTCAAAGTCGAGTTCAATGTTACAGAAACCCACTGCCTATGTGCGACCCATGGACGGACAGGAGTCCATGGAACCAAAGCTGTCCTCTGAGCACTACAGCAGCCAATCCCATGGCAATAGCATGACTGAACTGAAGCCCAGTAGCAAAGCACATCTCACCAAGCTGAAAATACCTTCCCAACCTTTGGATGTAAGTCACACCTTTAGAGCTTTTAACATTATTACTCTGGAAGCTATTTACTATGAAATTATAATTGAACTTGAACACTTTGTCTTAATAGTAAGGAATGTAAAAGTTTAAGGAAACATTTATGATCTCCTTCCAAGTTCTCTCCTGGGCATTAGAGCAGCTTTCTCACTGTTTTCAAATATTAAAATGACAGGTCAGTTACAGAATAAAAGTGTGCTCTGTCTATACCTCAGATTTCCTCCTTTTGATTTTATGAAATAGTCTTGTGCTTTTTTTTAAAAAAATTAATTTCTGTTCTAATTGTGATACTCATGAATGAGATGTGGGCCATGGTTTGTTGTGGTGAATGTTAGGATTATTTTGGGTTATGGAGATGGTTATGTATGGTTTGGATGCTGTGTTTTCTTTGATCACATTTAAAATTTTGAGGCAGCTACTCTGGATTCACAGTGGTGGTTTGAAATTTAGAGTATTTATAACTGCATACCAAAATGTGATATTCAGAATAACCAAGGAAGTTGGCATTCATTGTGAAATAACTGAAATTTTATCTTTTAATGTAGATTTTGCAATAAAAAGTTTCTTAAGTAATACCAGCAGCCTAAAATCATAGCTCATAGGTTCAAACAGTGGGGAAGAGAGGTCAGGGTTAGGTAAAATGCCTTTCTGAGAACATTTAAAAATCTTTCCTGTGCCTTTGGGAAACTCATTGTTCATGTCATTTGTCATCAATTACTCCAGAAACAGTAAAGTGATAATTTATTTGTTTCTTCTTCAGACAACATGCTCCTTCAGTTAGACTGTAGCTAATTCCTGTTTGTGCCTTAGAATAAATAGTATACTTCCATGATTTAAGAAGTGCTGTGTAAAATGTCCTTCATGTTCCAGATAAGTAATCTTTCAATACTGTTAATTTTATTCTGTTTGTTAGGTTATGTGAAATGATGTAGCTCAGTGTTATGGTATATTTTGTATATAAATAAACTTAAAAATTTTTAAAGTTGCTCACTTGAAAAATTATATTCAAAAAATTATTTATCTAAGAAATACAAGATTTTTAAAAACTTATGGAAAATATAAAGTTCTTTAAATCATGTACAATGTGATTAAAATTTTTAGTGCTTGAAAAATTTGTATTTAAGGAAATTAGTCCAAAGATTCTAATTAATGTTCTGATTTAGAATAGTAGGGTCTTTAATACTTTTTGAAATTTAATTTTATTTCTAATAATACTGTTAAATCTGTGCAACAAATGATAAAAATCTAATAATAAATGACTCCAAATCTAATGTACGTTTCTTTTCCTTTTTCTTAAGGCATCTGCTTCTGGTGATGTGAGTTGTGTGGATGAAATTCTTAAAGTAAGTTTTTTTTTATAGTTTCAGTCTCTCTCATTTAATTAAGTTCTGATACCATCTTACTCTTTCCCTCTATATTTTACAAAGGACTTGAAGCAGTAGACAGCTTACATGTGTAACCCAGTTATGTCCATCAAAAATAATTGACTATATTTTTCTTATATTCATACTTAGCTTCTGAATGACTTGGGTTGTTTTACCATTTGCCTTGAAGAGCTGTTTATTGTTTGTTAGTTTTTGTTTTTAGGTAAATAAAACAAATTCCAGTCTTAACAGTTTGCCTTGAAAAGAGGAAGAAACCAAATACACTTGTATTTTCTCAGGTTATCAGTTAGTTGAAGTGCTGAAAAGCTCAATAATTATCAAACCACTACATTAAAAATAGCTTGCTTTGTAATACATCTTTATGTACTGGTTAAATCCTACAAAGAAAAAATCTCTGAATATTGCACATTTTGTGTGTTTAATGGAATATGTTTAAGATTAATACATGATCAAAAAGTACATTCCTCTGTTACAAAATAAAAAGGTGTCTGTTGTAAAAAGAAAAAGTCTAGTGAATTAATGAGTGACAGTGACTGCTTTAGGCTCAGTAGAGATAAACCATCAGTCACATGTTACTTGTACTTTTTGTGTAATCTCCTGAATTTTTGTGTCTACACTTGGTTTCACCACAGATACTTTTGAAAGACTGCTTGCCTTGGCTGCTTCTACTTTATTCTCTCCTCCCTTCATTTAACCCCATATAATCTCTCTTGTACCTCTACCATTCTACTGAACCTTTTTCTCTAAGCTCATTGTCTTCCCCTTCACTGGGGGTTTCATTTGAGTTCTCTACTCTTTCTGCTATTGTAAAGAATTTTTATTTTTTCCTCTGGAAACATTCTTCCTTCCTTGACTGTTGTTACGCTTCATTGTTTTTCTTTCCTATCTACCTTTCTTGTCTTTTGGGAACACTTTTGTTTCCTCTTATTTCTTAAATATGGGTGCATTTTCTATCTTATTCTCTTCTCTTTGTGCTCTTTGTCTTGATTTTTCTCCATTCTTACGACTTTATTAGACAGCTATTCCCTCTCTGTCTCCTGCTTGGTCTCCTTTGGGTTTTGGTTTGTGTGTCTTAATTGCTGCTTAGCTGGGTCTCCGTTTGGAATTCTCCCTGCAGCTTTCTTCAGGCTCAACATGTCTAAAGCCATATTTATTAGACTTCATTTTACTAGTATTGCCTTCAATCTCTGTGCTTGTAAGTTTAGAATCCTAGCTTTCTTTCATGTTCCATTTAATCACAAAAATATGTTAGACTTTAAAAAGTCTTTGAAAATATCCATTTCTACCACCATGAGCTGTGATAATTGTAATATACAGTTCTCTGCCTTTCTGCCTCCAGTATCCCTGCTCATCTGTCTTCTGTATTGCTACCAGATTCTTTGCTTTAATCCTTTGTCCTCATAAATTAATTTCCTTCTTAGAAATTTTCAGTGGTTCTCTTAGACCCATAGAAAGAATAATGTCCAAACAATATTTCAGACTGTCCACAGGCCAGTCCTAACCTCTCCCACTATTGATTGACCACTTTTGCCACACTGATTTCTCTGAGCCATACACTTTATGCTGTTTTACCTTTTAAAAGTAGTTGATACAACTTCAGTTGTATATCGATTTTGTTTTTTCTTAGAATCCCTGTGAAATCTTTCTTCCCCATTTATGAGACTACAGTGATAAATCTTCCCTTTGAATCTTATGTACCATTCATTTTTTCAGATGTCATGTATATGAAAAGTCAAAGGGAGCATATATTGCTTACCCTGGATTCTTGAAAATGCATGGCACTTTCATACATGCAAGAAATACTAGGTTTTCTTATATTTAGTCATCTCTTTGATGTTTCTGACCATTTATTCAGCATTTTATATATATAGGGATTGGTGCACAGGTGCTCCATCATTTGATGATGGAGAGTTAAAAAGGTTTTCTGTTGAGAGGATTTTGGTATTTGAGGTGTAAAATACCAGCACTGAAAACCTGGGACATACTGAGTTTCTATTTCCTTTCCCCTTCCCAAATGTGCAACATGCAAGGGACTTCGGGTCTGCATGTTCTTCATGTTTTCTTGGTATTTGTAATCATACTGTTTCTTAGGGATCCCATCACAAACATAAAAAAAATTTTTTGACCTAAAAGTGATACATGTTTATTTTTAAAATATGATTGATTAATTCAAGGCTTACTAATTGAGCATTTACTATGTGTCAAGCCCTGTGTAAAGTGTTGTACTTGAGCTGACATTCTAGCACAGAGTGTAGGAAATAATCGACTGTATTATTTCAGAAAGTGAAATGCTATTAAATAATAAAGCATTGTAAGAGGCTAAAGAGCAATTACAGTGCAAGTGACTTGAATAGTAGAGACTGTATCATGTGCTCCTTTCTCTTTCTCCTTATGTCATTCTCTTGCCCAAGGTAGCTACAGTTAACTATCTTCCAGAGATTTTTTACATAATAAACATTTCCTAGGACGTAGACTATGAATTGTGTTTGTCACTTAACAATATACTGTGGGCATCATTTCATAATCACTAATTAAATTTCTCATTTTACTGTTGGCTTGGTGTTCCATTGTGTGGATGTCTGGTAATTTATTTAAAATACCTGTGTTGTTGGACATTTATGTTTTTTCCATTTTTTGATCATGAGCACTTTGAACATGTATCTGTACATAACCCAGGTATAGCTATAGGGTAAATTCCTAAATGTTGTATCACCTTTAATTTATTGTGTTTTCTCAATCTGTCTAATGACTTGACTTTAAACTAAATGCCAGAAATAAAACACTCCCTCCCTATTCTAAGTCATATGTTTCTCTTCCCTGCTTCTCTACTTACATACATTGTGATCATATCCAAACCTCCATTTGCACATACTTGCGTATGATTAGGTAGGAGGCATTGAGTGAAATCAGACTTTATAGCCTTGCTTGTCTTCCTCATGTGTTTTTAATGTCTGCCTTCTGATTTCTTTTACTTGACCAGAATTCCCCATCCATGTATGGGCTCTGAAGCCAGATTCCTTTGATGAAATTCTGTGTCCATTACTGACTAAACGTGTAACTTTGAATAAATAACCTCTGTGTTTAAATTTCATCCTACATGGGGTTACGATGTATTAAAATAATGGTATCTACCTTCTAATGTCATTGTGAGTACAAAATGAGTAACAGACTTGTAAAACAGCACATTATCTGGCTCATTTAAAGATACACAATAAATGTTAGATGCTTTTATTATTATTATCCCCCTCCTATCACTCCTACAAGCAAGCTCTTCCTCAGAATCATGTTACTATATGCCTTATAGTAGAGTACAGGCTTATTTTGGTAACGCCTCACAGGTCTCATCATTTTAACTCTAAGCTCCTTGAAGCCAGGGAGTGTTTATTATTTATCTGTTACTTATCCCATAGTGCCTTGCACACAATTGTGCTTAATTTTTATTGATTAAATATGTAACTTTTGGAGGAGCAATCTTGAAACCAGCATTTATAATACAGGTCTGGTTTTTAGCTGTGTAATTTTTATCCTTGACCTGGTTGAAAACAAACTTGTAATAATTACATTTCAGGAGATGACGCATTCATGGCCTCCCCCTCTAACGGCTATTCATACACCTTGCAAAACAGAACCTTCCAAATTTCCTTTTCCAACTAAGGTAAGTAAATGAAATGTCTTTGATACTGTAAGGAGACTCTATAAATGGCTTGACTAAAGTCACATAAATACAAAATTGTCTTGCCATTCCCATTCCAGTGGGAGGCAGACAATAAATAAGTGAATAAGTAGTGCAGATAGTGATAATTGCTATGAAGAAAACAAAGCAATATAATGGACTTGAGAGTGACTTCGATTGAGAGGTACTTGAGAAAGCTTGGAAGGCAGTAAGGGGAAGAGACTTAAAAGGCACCATTTTTGCAAACTGTTATGGTATTCTATGCCACAGGTATTTTCAGACTTGTCTGAGGAACTCCTTTCCTTAGATGAAGTAACCACACTTTTGTTCTATAGAAAGAGGTTCCTCAGCTGGCAGTTCCGAGATAATCTAAAATCAGATTTTTTTTTTACTTTAATTTATACTTACACAAGTAATACAAGAATACATTTTCCTTGTGAAAGTTTTACTAGGACTCCTAATTATAGCCTTCCCCAACTCTGCCGCCTCTGTCTCACCAGAGCTACTGTCATATATACCTTGCAAGTCTTTTCATATTCATTTACATACATATATATATGTAATCATTACATATAAGCGTTTTCTCATTTATTTTATTTTGCCAGATACATTGTTCTGTAGTTTTAATCAGTTAGCAATAGGTCTTAGAGACCTTTCCATGTTATATAATGTACATATATATATATATAAAACATATTACATATAGAGGTATTTCCTTTATTTTAATTGCTCTGTAGTATAAATGTATATTTATTTAGCCATTTCTCTTTGGTATTTAACTTGTTGCCAACTTTTCATTTCTATAAACATTGCTTTAGTGGATATTTTTTTCTTCATGTCTTCTGTGCAGACAAGTTTCTTTTGGGTAAAAGTCAAGAGGTAGAATTGCTAACTATTGAGAGTATATACTGAATGTATCCTCCTAACCTCCCTCCAAAGTGATCGTACTAGTGGGTACTCTCACTTGTATTCTCTATTATTCCTCACATGCCCACCACCATTTTGTATTTTAAGCACCAATCTTTGGAGAGAAAAAATGGCCTTCTGTTTCCTAGATTGCTAGTGAGGTTCGGCATCTTTACGTATTTGTCATCTAGTTGATTTCTGCCTGGATGATTTTTCCTGTTTCCTTTGGGTTACACCTTTCACCTAATGGGTTTTAGGAAGATTTTGTTGTTGTTGTGTTTGAATTCTAGCTTCTAAAAATGCCTTTTTAAGTTTTATGGTCTAGAAGATTCTAATTTTGATAAACAAATATGTCTTTCTCTTCTGTAAAGCTTTAATGTCTTGTTAAAGAAGGCATTTCCTTCCCCAGGATCATAAACATATCCTCTTTTCTTTTACTGTAATTGCAGTTTTGTTTTCTGTTTATCTTTAGCCCAGTTTATTTTTGTGAATGATGTGAGGTAGAGATACAACTTTCTGCCTAAATGTGTGCCATAATCATTCTTTTACTTTTTAAGTCAACTTTATTTACACATAAAGAAAGCATCTATATGTAATGCACAGTTTGAGTTTTGTTAGGTTTGTAACTACCAACCCTAATCAAGAATTATTCCTGGCATCCTCAAAGTTCCCTCATGTTCCTTTGTAGCCCACCTCACCCAGCCACTAGGCCTACATAACTCATCTGTTTTATGTCACTATAGACAAGTTTTGCCTTTTCTGCTATTTCATATAAATGGAATCCATAGTGTGTACTACTTTTGTAACATTTGCCTTGATTTGCTCAGCATGTGTTTTGGAATTCTTCCATGTTCTTGCATATGACAATAATATGTTCCTTTGTATTCCTGAGTTCCTTGTCATTTCTGTTGTATAGAAATACCAAAGTGTGTCCATCCATTTACCTGTTGATAAACATTTAGGTTGTTTTTAGTTTTGGGCTATTAAGATAAAGTATCTATAAATATTCACTTACATGTCTTTTGTGGACTTGTGTTTTCTTTTCTCATTAGTAAATACTAAGTTGTATGGTAGAAAGTAGAATTGTTGGGTCATACATTGAATGCATGCTAAAACTGATACTAAACTGAAAACTATTTTCCAGAGTGATTATATCATGCCCTACCTCCCTCAACTTTCATCCCCTAGCAGTGTATGATAGTTTCATTTGTTCTACACTTTTGTCTACATTTAGGATTGTCTAGTTTTAATTTTTTGAAATCTGTTTAATTTTAATAATCTCATTTTGGTTTTAATTTGCATTTCCCTGATGACTAATGATGTTGAACTTTTTTTCATGAGCTTATTGGCCATTCTTTTTGAAGTGTCAGTTCAAGTCTTGCCTGTGTGTGTGTGGCCGTGGGGGAGAGCTGGTGGTGGCAGGGTTGTGAGGTGTTATTTGTGGTTCTCTTATGTCTTTGTTTGGTTTTGATATGAGGGTAGTGCTGGCTTCTTAAAAGGAGCAAGAAAATACTCCGTTCATCTCTGTTTTCTAAATGTTTGTGGAATACTAGTATTAATTCTTCCATGAATGTATAATATAATTCAACAGTGAAGCTTTCTGGGCCTGTAGCATTATTCTCTGTTGGAAGGTTTTAAATTACAAATTTGATTTTTTTATTAGAGTTTATTCAGAGTTTCTATTCATTCTTGTGTCTGTCTTACTAATTTGTTCATTTCATCCAAGTAGTCAAATTTATTGATAATAAAGTTATTTATAATATATACTTACTCTTTTAATGTCTGTAGGTTCTGTAGTGAAGTCCTTTATCCCCTGACATCAATGTGTATTTTCTTTCTTTGTTTTTTGTTTTCCTTGATCAGTCCAGATAGAGGTTTATCAGTTTTAATGATCATTTCCAAAAACATCTTGTTTCTTTTTTGTTTGTTTTTGTTTTTTCAGTTTTCTGTTTCTTTGATTTTTGTCTTTTTTCTGATTATTTTCTTCTTTATGCTTATTTTGAGCTTCATTTGCTCTTCTAGCTTCTTAAACACATTTTATACTCTTTTTGATCTATCTCTGTTCATATTTAAAATGAGGTTCTATAGACAGCATATAATTGGGTCTTGCTTTTTATATGTAGTCTGCTAGACTCTACTCTTTAATCATGGAGTGTTTAAGCCATTTCCTTTTAATGTAATCATTGATATTCTTTAAGAAGTGGAAGCTTAGATCATAGATTGTAAATATTTCTTGTAAGTATTTAAAACTATTAATTTTCCTCTAAGCCCTGCTTTAAATGTATCTCACAAATTGTGATATATTGTGTTTTCATTATTATTCAGTGCAAAATGTTTCCTAATTTCTTATTTGACTGCTTTGATTCATGGGTTATTTAGAAGTATGTGGTTTTATTTTCAGGTATTTGAGGATTTTCCAGATATTCTTTTGGTGCTGACTTATAATTTATTTATGTTCTTGTCAGAGAATATATGATGCTCTATAATTTTAGTCCTTCTAAATTTTAAAAAATGTTTTATGGCTTAGTATATTCTCTCTCTGGGTGACTCTATATTCTATATATATATATCAGATCAAATTGGTTGAGAGTGATAAGTCATCTGTTTTTTTACTGACTTTCTGTCTACTTGTTCTGTCAGTTACTCAAAGGAGACTGTTGGCATCTGCAGCTGTATTTGAATTTGTTTCCTCTTTCAGTTTTGTCCATTTTGGATTCATGCGTTTTGAAACTTTGTCATTAAGTATATGCAGATTTAGGATTGCTATGTCTTTCTGATGAATTGATCCCTTTTTTCACTATGAGATGTACCACTTTATATCTGTTATTACTGCTATTTCTGAATCTACTTTGACATTCAAGTCTACTTTGATATTCATATAGTCAGTGTAGCCTTTAACTTATTGTTAGCATGGTTTAACATTTTATACTCTTTTTGGTCTATCTTTGTTCATATTTAAAATGAGTTTGTTATAGACAGCATATAATTGGGTCTTGCTTTTTATATGTAGTCTGCTAGACTCTGCTCTTTAATCATGGAGTGTTTAATCCATTTCCTTTTAATGTAATCACTGATATTGTAGGATTTAAATTTATCATTTTGCTATTTGTTTTCATTTGTATTCCCTTTTTTGAGATTCTTTTAGATGAAATAATTATTTTTTTATTCTGTCTTGTATTATTTAATAGCTTTATCTCTTATTTTAATAATGAAATTAAAGCTTGAGTTTATTAGAAGATTTGAAGAGAAGTTCATAATTCTGGCTAATACTTTCCTTTTCCTTTTTTTGGGGGGGGGTAACAGTTTTATTGAGATATACATACCATGTAGTTCATCCATTTAAAATATACAATTAACTGGTTTTTAGGGTTTCAGAGTTGTGTAACCATTAAGCCACAATTATTCTTAGAACATTTTCATCACCTTAAAAAGAAACCCATTATCCTTTAGCAGTTACCTCTCTATGTCCCAAGCTTCCTCGGCCTGCATCCCCAACACACACACATTATCATGTTAGGTGACTACTAATCTACATTATAGAATTTACAGATTTGGCTATTCTGGACATTTCATATAAATGGAATCACACAATATGTGGTCTTTTGTGACTGAGTCTTTCATTTAGCCAGAGGTTTTTCAAGGTTCATCTGTGTTACAGGATTTATCAGTACTTTATTCCTCTTGATGGCTGAGTATGTTCCACTGTATAGATATATCACATTTTGTTTATCAGTTGATTGACATTTGGGTAGTTTTCATTTTTTGGCTATTATGAAAATATCTGTTACAAATGTTAGTGTAGAAATATTTGTGTAGACATGTGTTTTCAATTTTTTGGTTATGTAACCAGGAGTGGAATTGCTGGGACATATGGTGAACTCTGTATTATAATTTTGAGGATTACATGATAATTTTCCAAAGTGGCTGCTCTGTTTGACATCCCCACTGGCAATATATAAGAATTTAAATTTCTCCAAGTTTTGTGAATCTGTTATATATTTCTTTTTTATTATAGATGTTTTACTGAGTGTGAAGTGGTATGTCATTGTAGTTTTGATACTCATTTCCCTGATGGC